TTTATTTTTTTGTGTTTAAGACAGGATCTCACTCACGTTGCCCAGGCTTAGAGGAGGTGTTCATGGCGTCAGCCTGGCTCACAGCAACCTCAGACTCCTGGGCTCAAGCGATCCTCCTGCCTCAGCCTCCCGAGTAACCGAGACCACAGGCATGCGCCACCACGCCCGGCTCATTTTTTCTACATATATTTTTAGTTGTCCGACTAATTTCTTTCTATTTTCAGTAGAGACGGGAGTCTTGCTCTTGCTCAGGCTGGCCTCGAACTCCTGACCTCGAGCGATCCTCCGGCCTCGGCCTCCCAGAGTGCTGGGAAGACAGGCGTGAGCCTCCGCGCCCGGCCTTTCCAGACTTGCTTTTTACCAGCGAGCAAAGCCAGACCCCAGCGCTCGTCTCCCGTGCAAAGCGAGAGCCCCCTAGGCGCTGAGAGAGCGGAGAGTGCGGGGTGGGGTGGAGGCCCGGGGCGGAGGCCCGGGCGTACCTGGAGGATGTCGGTGTTGGTGCGGCTCTCGTGGGGCTCGCTGTACTCCGTGTACTTCAGGAGCACGCGGTCCATGTCCGTGCTGGCGTACTGGAAGAGGCGGTTGGCGCTGTTGAAGATGATGAGGGCGATCTCGCAGTCGCACAGCACGCTCAGCTCGTAGGCCTTCTTCATCAGCCCGAACTTGCGCTTGGTGAACGTCACCTGGGCCCCGGACCGCAGGCGCAGGCGGGAGGGGGAGAAAAGGATTTGGGGTGTTGTGGCAGAGGCCGCGAGTTCCCAAATAGGCCCCATGACCCCATGCCTCTGCCTTCACGTGTGCTGCTGTCCTCTCTGGCTGCCCTCTCCTCCCCGCCGCACAGCCTGGAAAACTCCTAGTTGCGCTTCAAAACCCAACCCAAATGTTCCCCTCCCGTTTGGGAAGTTTTCCTCGGCCTCCCAAGCAGAACCCACACTCTCTCTCTCTGGGTTTCCCCAGTTCTGTGGCTCCCTCCGGGCCAGCCCTCTGAGCTGGGCGTGTCTGTGTTGAGTTTCATCTCTCCCCTGTGACCGGGTTTCCAGTCATCGGCAAGAATAAATGAATGGGGGGGAGCAGGGGCTCATGCCTGTCATGCTAGCACTCTGGGAGGCCGATGGCCGGAGGGATTGCTCAAGGGGTCAGGAGTTCTGAAACCAGCCTGAGTCAAGGGCAGAGGACCCCCGGTCTGCTACTAAAAATAGAAAGCAAATTAGCGCGGACAACTAAAGGAATATCATGGGAAAATCAGGGCCGGGGCATGGGTGGCGGCATGCCTGTAGTCCCAGCTACTCGGAGGGCCTGAGGCAGGAGGATCGCTGAGCCCAGGTTGGGAGGTTGCTGTGGAGCGGAAGGGGCTTGGGGGGGAACGCCACGGCACTTCACTCTGAGCCTGGGCAAATTCAGAGTGAGACTCTGTGCTCAGAAAAAAAAGAAAAAATTGGTCACTAGGGTCTTGAGTTGCTTAAAAAAGAAAAAAAAGGAAAGAAAAAAAAAAAAGAATAAATGAATAAATGATCATAAAACCGAGCAAATCCTCCAGCTCAGACACGGGACACGGCATCAAAGCTCCCCACCGTCCTCATGCCCCGAAGTTTCCCAGAAGGGCCACGTGGGTTGCCTGGGCCTCGCCCCGCCGGGAATGCC